GGGGCCGGGCTCGGGGCGGGGCGCGGTCGGCGGCGGCGCCGCCGTCGCGGGCGGGGCGGCGCCCGCAGCCGAGCGCCCTGCCGCCGCCGCCGCCGCCGCCGCCGCCGCCGCCGGGGCGGTTGTGGTGGCGCCGCAAGCGGGTGGCGAGAAGAGCGGGGATGGCGATGGGACGGGTGACTCCACGGGGTTGGAGATGGATTCTGCCGCGACGCGGGGTGTAGTGGCGGTGAGAAATACTGTAGCACAACTGTTGTAAAATAGCTGGTGTGTCGGCTATTATACTGGTCTCACCCCTAAGGCATGCGAAACATGAATACGCCACCCCCCACCCTCCCCCAAGCCGGATCATGGCGGTGCTAAGCGGGCGCGAAGCCCACCCGCACCTTTTCTCAAGAACTCGACTCCACACTCCGCTCAGTCGACGCTGAAACAAAACACCTTTGTTTTCTGTCTGTCTGCCCTGTAACTAATAACACATCTTCTTTGCTGTCTATCTGTCTGTCTGTCTGTCTACCGTGTCAGGAGGAGTCCTCAGTAGACGCTGCGGCTACCGAGCCGGCGACCGGGGGACTGCAGGCTCTGGGCCGTTTCCTGTTCGGGGCGCGAACGGAAAGCGGCCGCACCGTTGCCGACGATGCCGGCGACGCTGCTCCGGCGGCGGCGGCTACCGGTGTTGTCGCCGCAGAGGGGGAGGGGAAGCCGTCGGAGTCGGCGAGAGCGGCGCCGGCATCGTCGGCTACAGGCGCTGTGTGCCTGAGGGATTGTGGGGAGCCGGCGAAGGCAGAGGTGGTCGGCGACCAGGCCTTGGAGCTAGCGGCGGCGGTGGCGGTGGCGGCGGCGGAGGGCGGGTCGTTCTCTTCCTCTTCCACCTCATCGACGGGGAACGTTAGCGCCGGGGCTGCGGCGGCGGCCGCGGCCGCGGCGACAGCGGAGTGCGCAGACGAAGCTGATGACGCAGGCACCGACGCCGGTGTTGTTCTTGCTGCCGACGATGCGGTGGAGGAGGAGGTGGTGTTGGCGGTTGTGCCCTCGTCCGAAGCATCGGCCGCTGTTGTCGTCGTCGATGACGGCGGTGTTGCAGCTGCCATGGCGGCGGTGCCAACAGACGCCGCCGCCGCAGGCACCACCGTTGACGGTGATGATGTCAGCGCGGAGGAGGGTGGTGATGTGCCTACCCCAACGTTGCCGGCCGTAGTAGAATCGCCCGCGGTTGATGCTAGCGAAGACCCACCACAACAGAGGGACGAGGAACGCGTCGAGAAGCAAGGTTCGCCAGCGCAACAAGCGGACTCCGCCACCGCTGACGTCACTAAGAGCTTCCCGGATGGCGATGTTGTCGTGCCCGAACCGGTTACGGCCGTCGTTGCGACCGGCGAAGAACCAACCACGACGGCCCCGAACACGCAAGAAGCCGGCACCAACGGCGGCGGCGGCGGCAGTAGCAAGCCCTCCGCTCTTCCGTCGTCCAGCGGCGGCGGCGGCGGTGGCGGCAACATCTCGTCGGCGTCTTCGTTGTTGATCAGGGGGAGAAAGAGTTCCAGGGGCAGTGGCAGCAGCAGGGACGGGGAAACGGGCTGGAACAATGGATCGAAATCGGGCGGCTTGGGCGCGGGGGGTTCCTCGTACTCCAGATCGGGGTCGAAGGGTTTGCTGGCGATGGGGGCGTCGCTTTTGTCCGGAGAGAGGAAGACCGGCCTGGCGGCGTTGGGGTCGAAGGTGCGTGAGCGGTTTGTTTCGCTGGCGTCGACCGCGGCACACGCGTGTTTTCGAGAGAGTTCCCTCGTGTAGGGTTTCCGGTGCCGTTTGCCGTGGTTTCCGGGAGATGGTCCAGATAACAAGCTTGGGTGCATCCCGTCCAACCTCCTGCGAAAGCACGCTGCTGCTGTTGTTATTGTTGATGTTGTTGCCGTTTTCGATATGTGGGGGTGGGTGTCTGTGATCTTCGACGTTACCAGCGGATGTTCTTTCCCCCCTCTCAAAGATTCTCCCACCGAAAGTCACGCTCATCGGGCATGCGCTATCGTGCACATGGCTCTAGGTGAAGAAAGAGTATCGTTTCCGATGAAAATGGGCGCATAACTCGCACCAAGAGTTGAAGGTTTGTACGGTCAACCTCCCCCCCCCCGAGTGTTACAACGCTTTTTTCCGGCACCCTCGGCACAACCTTGGGGTTACCCTTAACCGCTGCTGCCCCGTCCTTGCCCCCCCCCCCCCCCCTCTT